AGAGGGTCGAAGAAATTCCTCCGAGAGGGTAGAAGAAATTCCTCTGAGAAGGTAGAAGAAATTCCTCCGAGAAGATAGAAGAAATTCCTCCGGGAAGGTAGAAGAAATTCCTCCGAGAAGGTAGAAGACATTACTCCGAGAGGGTAGAAGACATTACTCCGAGAGGGTAGAAGAAATTTCTCCGAGAAGGTAGAAGAAATTCCTCCGAAAGGGTAGAAGAAATTCCTCCGAGAAGGTAGAAGAAATTCCTCCGAAAGGGTAGAAGAAATTCCTCCGAGAAGGTAGAAGAAATTCCTCCGAAAGGGTAGAAGAAATTCCTCCGAGAAGGTAGAAGAAATTCCTCCGAAAGGGTAGAAGAAATTCCTCCGAGAAGGTAGAAGAAATTCCTCCGAAAATATAGAAGAAATTCTTCCGAGAAGGTAGAAGAAATTCCTCCGAAAGAGTAGAAGAAATTCCTCCGAGAAGGTAGAAGGCATTCCTCCGAGAAGGTAAAATAAATTCCTCCGAGAAGGTACAAGAAATTCCTCCGAGAAGATAGAAGAAATTTCTCCGAGAAGGTAGAAGAAATTCCTCCGAGAAGGTAAAATAAATTCCTCCGAGAAGGTACAAGAAATTCCTCCGAGAAGATAGAAGAAATTTCTCCGAGAAGGTAGAAGAAATTCCTCCGAGAAGGTAGAAGACATTCCTCCGAGAAGGTAGAAGAAATTTCTCCGACAAGGTAAAAGACATTCCTTCGAGAGGGTAGAAGAAATTCCTCCGGGAAGGTAGAAGAAATGCCTCCGAGAGGGTAGAAGAAATTCCTCCGACAAGGTAGAAGACATTACTCCGATAAGGTAAAAGAAATTCCTCCGAGAATGTAGAATAAATTCCTCCGAGAGGGTAGAAGAAATTCCTCCGAGAAGATAGAAGACATTCCTCCGAGAAGGTAGAAGGCATTCCTCCGAGAAGGTAGAGGAAATTCCTCCGAGAGGGTAGAAGAAATTCCTCCAAAAAGGTAGAAGAAATTCCTCCGAGAAGGTAGAAGAAATTTCTCCGAGAAGGTAGAAGAAATTTCTCCGAGAAGGTAGAAGAAATTTCTCCGAGAAGGTAGAAGACATTCCTCCGAGAAGGTAGAGGAAATTCCTCCGAGAGGGTAGAAGAAATTCCTCCAAAAAGGTAGAAGAAATTCCTCCAAGAAGGTAGAAGACATTCCTCCGAGAAGGTAGAAGAAATTCCTCCGAGAAGGTAGAAGACATTCCTCCGAGAAGGTAGAAGAAATTTCTCCGAGAAGGTAAAAGACATTCCTCCGAGAGGGTAGAAGAAATTCCTCCGGGAAGGTAGAAGAAATGCCTCCGAGAGGGTAGAAGAAATTCCTCCGACAAGGTAGAAGACATTCCTCCGACAAGGTAGAAGAAATTCCTCCGAGAAGGTAGAAGAAATTCCTCCGAGAGGGTAGAAGAAATTCCTCCGACAAGGTAGAAGAAATTCCTCCGAGAGGGTAGAAGAAATTCCTCCAAAAAGGTAGAAGAAATTCCTCCAAGAAGGTAGAAGACATTCCTCCGAGAAGGTAGAAGAAATTCCTCCGAGAAGGTAGAAGACATTCCTCCGAGAAGGTAGAAGAAATTTCTCCGAGAAGGTAGAAGAAATTCCTCCGAGAAGATAGAAGAAATTTCTCCGACAAGGTAGAAGAAATTCCTCCGAGAAGGTACAAGAAATTCCTCCGAGAAGGTAGAAGACATCCCTACGAGAAGGTAGAAGAAATTTCTCCGAGAAGGAAGAAGAAATTCCTCCGAGAAGATAGAAGACATTCCTCCGAGAAGGTAGAAGAAATTCCTCTGAAAATGTAGAAGAAATTCCTCCGAGAAGGTAGAAGAAATTCCTCCGAAAAGGTAGAAGAAATTCCTCCGAGAAGGTAGAAGAAATTCCTCCGAAAAGGTAGAAGAAATTCCTCCGAGAAGGTAGAAGAAATTCCTCCGAGAAGGTAGAAGATATTCCTCCGAGAAGGTAGAGGAAATTCCTCCGAGAGGGTAGAAGAAATTCCTCCGAGAAGGTAGAAGAAATTCCTCTGAAAATGTAGAAGAAATTCCTCCGAGAAGGTAGAAGAAATTCCTCCGAAAAGGTAGAAGAAATTCCTCCGAGAAGGTAGAAGAAATTCCTCCGACAAGGTAGAAGACATTCCTCCGAGACGGTAGAAGAAATTCCTCCGAAAATGTAGAAGAAATTCCTCCGAAAAGGTAGAAGAAATTCCTCCGAGAAGGTAGAAGACATTCCTCCAAGAAGGTAGAAGACATTCCTCCGAGAAGGTAGAGGAAATTCCTCCGAGAGGGTAGAAGAAATTCCTCCGAGAAGGTAGAAGACGTTCCTCCGAGAAGGTAGAAGAAATTCCTCCGAGAAGGTAGAAGAAATTCCCTCGAAAGGATTGATAAAATGCCCCGAGAGGGTTGATAAATTGCCCCCGATCTTCAATTAAGGAGAGTAGGAAAGAGGAAGAATGTAGTAGATAGAGTTAGTGTGGAATAGAAATGAGTAGAATCGAGTGAGCGTGAAGCGTGATAGGCCGTATGTAAACGGAATCTGATTGGTTCAGGAATTTTGATACAGCTAGAGATACACATATGAGGTACCTAAGCTCGTTGACGGCATTCTTATGACGGACTATGGAGGGAGCGGACGACCAGCAAAGGACCACCAGCAGAAGGGATAGCGGCACTAGCGGACCAACAGAGGGAGCAGCAGATTCGTGGAACCGTGATTGAGGCTGGAAACCTCGGTCCGGTTACTACATCGGACCACCAGCTGAGCAGTAGATTCGTGGAACCGTGACCGAGGCTGGAAACCTCGGTCCAGTCACGACAGAGCCCTTCTCCACTTTGCTTCGACCCAGTGATGCAAAATATCATGACACTCACGTGACACTCGTCTTCGCATCAACCGACTATCGCCGACAGATCGTTTTGTCACACAGTGAGAGTTAGAGCCATGGCAAACAACAATCACCAGTAATGGTCGCTGCTCACAAGCAAAACGTTACACTCGCTGCTGATGATGAAATGCACAACGAAAACAGTGAGGACTTCTGCAGTACGATCATGAGAAAAAGCGAAACGACAGAAGAAAATAAAAACAATGCCTACGCATTCCAAGTTCGTCTCGGCAGGCGCGACTGTGTGAGTTACAAACAAAGCAGGCAACATGAAACGGAAGCTGTTGGGCTCACTCACCAACTCACTCACATAAGCAAGCAAAGCAGCAACTGCTTCAAAACGAGCACATATGAGTGTCGTGAAGATTGTCGGGAATGACCAGATCGGTGATGGATCACAACAAAAGACGACATTCACCAGTTGCTTTTTACTTCTTTCGTCAACTTGATGGATGGTCATGGAGAGAGCTTCGACGAGCACATTGATAGGAATGTACAAAGTGTTACTACCATCAGCTGTTTGACGATCGTGATTGTGATAGGTCGCAACTCTGCTTCGACCTTCCTCTTTAAACCTGAAGACGGCTGTTCGAACGGCCTCCTCAATGTTAAAAAACTGAGAAACCACATTACAATAACAACATGTGAAAAGGGCATACACGCTTTTTGTAAACACACCTTCTTATGCCCTTTTCTCTCTACCCATATGCAACCTACGCAACCCATCAACATCACCCGGTAGAGGAAACTTTCCCCTTCCCGATGGTGTTGTTGGTTTGCGTAGGCGACCCTTGGTTGGTGAGAAAAGGGCCTACAAAGGTTTGTTTATAAAATGCTTGTATGCCCTTTTCACATGTGGCTCTTGATTATGTTCTTCCTTGAGATTTTTTTTTTGCTTGATTGAATCCGTTGGTGCGATGAGTCATGGTTCTTATTTGGTTTACATCACAGCGATCCAGCAAGTGTCGCTGGATTAACTGGTTGGCTTCCAGAGTCCTTGGTTCGAATCCCGGTTGTAAATTTTGTGCACCGGGAGCAAATTGAAAAACTTCTCATTTAAAGAGCACATTGAGGAAAGTAACTGTATCTAAGCGCACCACTCTTTCTTCGTTTTGGTTTGTGTTTGCCTCAATGTGAATATGTTTTCAAAAAGCTGTGCAATCGTTCTCCTCAATGTGATAGGCTGAAATGTTTGCACTTTGCGCTCAATTTATGAGGAAATAAGCCTGCAATTGGTGACACGACCCAAATTTGAGTTCAGTTTACTCATAAATCGCAAAAAGTGCAGGAACTCGCTGAGTAAATTTTTCTGACTTTTTCAAGGTTTTTCCAGGAAAAAAATCCTGAATGTGGGAATAATCAAGATTGGATTTACTCAGTCTATCGGTACTACTTCTAGATTGAGTAAAATTGTCGTCAATTTTCCACAGGAAAACAGGAGGCAAATTTGCTCATGACTCAGTTCCTGCACTTTTGAGATTTTAAGTAAACTAAACCCAAATTTGAGTCGATCTCATTGACTGTGTGGCATAGGTGGCAGAAGTTCTACATTTCTAGAGCAACATGTGAAACGGGCCTATGTGCTAAATGTAAACAATGACTTTAAACGTTGATTTCTCGCGGATAAGGACTCATTCAGACAAACCGACACCAGCATATGGTAGAGTAAGTTTGCTCTGTCAAATGTTAAAGTTAGTTTGCGTGGGCGTGTTGTGATTGGTGAGCTATACACGCTCAAGATCATCGTTGTTCGAGATTTGATTTACAGTCCATTTTTATAATACTTTATTAAATCTGTGTAATTTAATTGATTTCCATTTGTATGTTATTTATATAGTGTTATTCTTGAAGACAAAAAGTGTCAGGCGAATTATAGCAAAGCAAAAATCTTTCAATTGGAGCACCGTTCGCGCGGCCGAAAAAAAAAGATGCCACGGTTCATTGCACAGCGATGCATGTGGTGGCATATACAGTTCCATTCATTTAGTTCGGTGTTTGGATCGACAACGTAGTACATTTGCCATCGTTTTGCCTGGTTTAGTGTGTCATTCCTATTTCTCTATCTGTCAGACGTTTTCGCTATGCCGTTGTAGCAACAGCGTTCTGCTGCTTATTTTTTTTTTACTGACTCTTAGTTCATTCCCAATCCATCCACCAGTAATACCCCACTTTTGTGTGTCGAAACAAAGTGACTCAGAGTACCTACCAGCAGCGAAACGAATAAAATAAAATAACGAAAACAAAATCAACCCGTTGTGTAAAGTGCGCTGATGTTGCATATATATCGCTCGAAAACATATTGATTGTGTAATCATCATGCTCGCGAAGCATCACCATTGAGAAAAGTTCAGGGTCTGTAAAAGTCGAACAGATTTCTCCTCGAGTGCAACAATGCATCACTAAGGTTTGTTCGATGCTTATCTATTATAGTGAAAACAGAAACATTCCTTATGTGGCATTCATCGGTGCATGTTCAGAATCGTGAATGTTGTTTTGAAGTGCTATCAATGTTCAGACTAGAATTGTGTGTAAGCTGACGTGGAAATACCCGGAAACCAATTGGCAGACTGGTTCGGCGTTGAACTGTTAGAATTCAATAATGTTATCATATGTGAGGTCGATACGCGGTGCTTTTCCCAGGTTCATTTCGATGTGCCAATATGGGAGAAACGTTCTGACAAACGTGACCATGAAAACACAAAGCTACAGCGACTACAGCGTTTACAGTAGTGGTATGGAAGTCGGTTTTGTTGGTATAGAGGGAATCGTATCGTTCATTCGACGTAAATAAAACATACCATCGCAAGTGTTTGGCACATGGAATGGTAGTTCATTCTACGTGGTTGTTTTCATACTGACCGGTATCAGGGGCCTAGGGTGGTTGACGAAATCATAAACAAAAATACTTGGAAGATAAGGAATGTGTTTTGATAAAAAAATTGATAATTTATATTGGCACTTGGCAATTTCTTTTATGATGTTGATTCTTAAAAAATATTGGAAAATCATAGCGAACATCTGAACAAAAGAATGTTATTCCTCAGACTATGAACAAACTTTACGTACACACTCAGAAATTATTGTGGAATTCGAACACCCAACCGGTGGATGTAAGATTCGCTTACAATTATGTGGGATTCATCATCAGAGGATGTAAGTGGAGACCGCATGAACCGAGGATGCGATATACCTAGCTGCGGTCCGATGTAAGAAAATTGGAGACCGAAAAATGTGGAGTTGTATTAGTTAGTGAAATTAATTATGTCGAAAAAAATAGAAAAAAGGTTGCCGACTGGACTCGAACCACGGACGTTGCGACTATCAGACCAATGAGCTGGATTACCGAGGTGAAGCAATCACTCACACAACCACTGTACGATACACGCAAGTAGTGACGTCACTACTTGCGTTTACGTTGATTTTTTGGTTTACTAATACAACCCTATTTCACGATCTGCTTCACCTCTCTCTGTACCTCATTGCTATCAGACCTGTGCTTTCTCCACTGTTCTCTCCATGCTTCTGAATATGGTCAGCCTAAAAGCAAACATGAAGCGCTCATTTTCTCGCATGCTCGACTTCGTATGCTTTTTCTGCTGGAGAGATTCGAGTTAAGTGTGTGCGTCGTTCTACAATGTTCTACAATGTGCGTCGTTCTACAAGCTTACTGGTACCTATAGTCGAAAGCGTAGATGCAACACGAAATAAAAATGCTCGACTTCGTATGCTTTTTCTGCTGGAGAGATTCGAGACAAGTGTGTGCGTCGTTCTACAATGTTCTACAATGTACGTCGTTCTACAAGCTTACTGGTATAGTCGAAAGCGTAGATGGAACACGAAATAAAAAAAGACAAAAAACCATTACATCGCCTGCATGGTCAATTTCTAACATTCGTTGCGATGTTCATGAACAGAGGATGATAGGAAACGGAACTAACATTCATTGTAATAGATTTTTGGTTTGCGTGAAACAATCGGTAAAATTACCCAAGTACCCGATATTGCAAGTTTTATCGAGGTTATAAAGCATACTACAAGTTACAATCATGGTCCACAGAACACTCATAAAACCAAATTGTTACATGGGTATGACCTTAATTTTAAAGCTTACTTTGAACATTAATCATTTCCTCCGTTAATTTTTTTTTTTCAAATCTTAAGTGGGGTTTTAGTTTTTTTTGTAGTGAATTTTCTTGGAACATTTTATTTGATGTTTTCGGATATTACCGGACATCACGTACTTTGAAAATTAATAACTCAACAGATCAACCAAGTATTGAAGAAAGAACTTTGTGTATTGAAATGACAAGGAAATTATCTCAAAAATCCATAATAAATAAGAGGTGTTCACAGTTAAATTACACCACTTAGAAGTACTCGCCAAAAATAAGTCTATGAAATTTTCAGGAAATGTAATACTATATGTAAGCTTGGATTACGTATCTTTATTTCACTCTATTTCTTCACCAAATCCAAATGCCCGAACTTTCTTCTTAATTCTACCCAGAATGTTTTTGTACAACGGTTGAATCGACTTTTTTCTGCTTTCAACCATGATTTCAACATTTCCTGCTTCGTAGTAACAACATTAGGATACCTTCGGAGTTAGTGCTTCATTATATCTTTCGATCGGCCGCAACTCCGGTGTGTTTGGGGGATTGAGATCTTTCCGCACTAAATTGACCCCAGTCGTCTTGCACCACTACAGAACTTCATTGGAGTAGTGACAAGAGGCTAGATCCGGCCAAAAAATTGTAGGAACTTTGTGTGATTTCAGAAACGGAAGCAGTCGTTTCTTCAGGCACTCATTCAAGTAGATTTGGCCATTTACGGTTGTAGTTGTTACGAAAGGCTTGCTCCGTTTTCCGCAAGAACAAATCGCCCCTGCCAAATCATTTCTTGGGGAACTTCGACACTTGCTGTTTCCTGAGGGACTCTGAAACATCGAACTTTTGGTTTCCTAGAATTTGTTTGAAGTCCACTTTTACGTATGTTTCATCGTTCATGATAAAGCAGTGTGGTTTTGTCAAGATTTGTGTGTTCTAGCTGTCCTATTCTGTCGTTCATTGCGGTTTGGTGCTTTCTGAACCTCGAATGAACGTAGTTCTGTTCGTTTCTTGGTTAGGTGAAGTTTTTTCGCGACATCCTTAACGGAATAGTTGACTCGCTTGTGATCTTCAACGCAGTACGGAACACTTGCTTCCGATCGACAGTAAAATGTTCTCTGAAACGTGTTATGACACGAAAACAGTAGATTGTTGGATTCCCAACATGTGGGATGTTGAGGTGAGTGCGCAAAATTTTCTCGCGCACGTGCTGTTGTTTTGACTCCATTTTCAAAACAACTAGAAATTGGCATTGACGGAACCAGTGTTGTCCCACTCATAATAAAAGAGATATCAATTTGCCCTCACAATAGATCCATCTGTAACCCAATACTTTGCCTGTCCAAGACGTCGCAAGTTTTCATGAGTTCCAAAAATTAAGGCTCTTTCATTATTGTCACCGAAGTCAGCAATCAATAGACGGTCCCCATTATCATCCTTCTGGAATTCATCGGGTAGATTATGCCTAACGTCCATTATGTCAAAAGTCCTTTATGCCCAACGTCCATTATGCCTATCGTACATTATGCCTAACGTCCCTATGCCTAACGACCGTATGCCTAACGTCGTGTACCCGTTGAAACACCCTCCAAAGGCGCGCCCCTTTGTCAGTCAAAATTGGATTCCTTAGCAATAAAATTAAGGAATGACACCGATAATGACCATGCATCAGAACCCTAGTCTTAACCACTTCAAACTAGGGAACAACGAATAGAAGATTAGGAATCACATAGAAGACTAACTGACTCATTTTTCCCTTGTTTCAAGATCATCCTCGGTAGACAAAGCCGAGTCTTGTCACTATCAACAAGGCATAACAAGTAACAAGGGCTAAGATGTGTTCCTTGGATTACTGAGAAATCCTGTTCCCCTAGTTTGAAGTAGTCAGGACTAGGAATCGGTGGTAGATCTTACATCACGTAACGTACCACGAAAAGGTGATCTACCCAGGTTACGGGACTTACGGGGGTTACAACGTTACGATGAGTCACAATAAAATCTCACGTGAGATTTTCTGTCACTCTTCTTATGACACTCACACTCGTATGGCCTTTGAATCAACCGTGAGATATCTGGCTACGCTTTCTGTCATTAAGATATTTTCAGTGTTCTGAAATGTCTTTATTCTCTGGTTTGCTACGAGTGTGTGTTAGCTTACAAAGAAGTGAAAATAGAGCAACGTGCAACGCAGCGATCCAAAATCGAAGCGACTATTTTAGTGACAGAGGACAATACATTCCGTTGTGTCGCTGTACAGAACTGTGACTGAATTTTAAATCATTCATAATTTTGGTTTACGTTCTTAGGTTTTCCATACATTTCATAAGAAAAAATTAATGTTTTCTCACAAATCAGATAGAAAAAGAAATCTTTCTGTTCTGGCACAGATGTAATTTACATACATTCGGATATTTATGTTCAGTGGTCAACATCGCTTTCACAATTTGCTTTTGTAAACAAACATGCTGATCGCCGATTTCTTGCGATAACGGCTCAATATCGGAAACAGGAGGAGGAATTGTTTCTCTATCATCTAGTATAGTTTGTTTGTGACATTTAGCTTCGAATAGCGAGAAATTGGCGACTGACGTTTTTGTTTACAAAAGCAATTACACCCTAATCACGAATCACGTTATTACGGCATTCTCACTTGCACCCTGACTTGTTCTCTAAAGCATTACATGTAGGGCTTAATTGTACTCTCCATGTCACTGTTTCACCTTCCCGTTCCTTCCTCGTAGCAAATCAGATTCGCCTGGAGCTGCTTTGGATGTTCGAATGAATTCTCCAATTGGTATGCTTCCACTAGTGCTTTCTAGCAGCCAACTACTATTTTGATCAGCATCTGGATACGTGAATGCAATCGACTCCATCAATCCCGTTATGATGGTAGAGCTTTGTGACAAACCTGTGGATGGTAGAGAAATAACATAAACATTGTTGTTAAAAATATAATTCCACACAGTCCTACTTACCATATCGGGTAAATGGAGAATTGTTTCTGCTTTATTCGTCGACAGACTTGGGTCTGCTCCAGCTTAATTTTCCAATCGAAAATTATTTTAATTGATTCGATGTTAGTGAGAGTCCAAAATCCCTTCTAAGCTTCATAAGGCCTATTGTCACAAATGTCACTAACGTTAACAATAAATTTAACCGTTAATTTCTCGAGAATGGTATCTCACCCAAGTAGACCACCATGATAATTGTGTTGAGAACGTAGATAGAGAGTCCCCGTACCCGGTGGCTTGCATGGATAGAATATGAATTTCCAGAACTTTCTTAAAGAAGCCCTTGT